AAGAAATCTTTAGATATGAATACGGAAGAACAAAGAGATTGACGCATTTCAATAACAATTGATAAAAAAGTGATGATACAACCCATTATTTAAAACAGATAAAAATGGATGCACTTCATAGTTCTATCAAATATTACATTTCATGAGAGGATACTAAATATTTCTAGTCATTTTTAATGAAAATTCTATATAAAGTCATAAAAGTATATATAAAAACTATATATTTATATATCGGTTTGGTTCATTTTTTTTTTACTCAATACCAAATTAAATCAAATCAAACACAATCGAAAATTTTAATCGATTTGATTTGACTTTTTGGTTAGGTGGGTTTGAACACCCTTAGTCAAGATAGACTAAGTTCTTTGTTGAAGTTACATGATGTTGGAGTTAAAGTTCTTTGTTGGAGTTACATAATGTTGGAGTTAAAGTTCTTTGTTGGAGTTACATGATGTTGGAGTTACATGACACTGGACATATTACATATTGGACTAGTTTGACTAATTAGTCCACAAGCCCATTATCTGTATTTATTTGTATTCTTTGTAAATAAGAGGCCCAGAACAGATATAGGGGCAAGCAGAAGATTCTAGGGACGTTTTTTTTGACAGATAATACAAAACATAGTTTTGCTCGTCTGCCTTCTCTCCTCTCTCTTCTCTCTCTAAAAACCCTAAACATGGGTTCATCAAATCCGGTCAATCTCTGAGTTTAACATGGTATCAGAGCCATGAAATCATCGATCCTTCATCCTCTAATCTCAGCGGTGTTACACCTGGAGGTTTTAGTTCTTTAGTCACCGGAATTTCTCGCCCGTTCTTCGCCGGTCTTGAGGTCGGAATTTTCTTCTGATTTTCATTTGTTCTAATGGTCTTTTGCTCGATTACGTTCGAACGTAGTCAATCTCTAGGAGACTTGTACGATTCATCCATTCATTGGAGTTTTGGAGGTTTTCTTCAAAGCTAGGATTTCAGATCTGAGTAATCTTCAAGGCCTTTTACTTCTTCAAGTCGCGAAGAAGTTTTGGTATACTCTTTCCTGTTTTTACACATCTATTGATTTTGTTGTGCTAGGTGATTGTCTGTTATCAGAAATTAGTTGTTTGTTTTTTGAGAAATGTTCTGAAAATTATGGGTGATTCCAGTTCAAATACTGGTCCTTGCGTTCCTGAACCTACTAGTCCCTTGTTTCTCCTTCCTTCTGATGTCCCAGGCGTATCTCTTGTTAGTGTGCCCCTCCGTGGACAGGTTTTGAGGGTTGGAAGCGTAATATGATAGTTTCTCTGTCCGCTAAAAACAAAATAGATTTTATAGATGGTTCGTGTACTAAAACTGTTAAGACCTCTCCTCAGTATAGGTAATGGGATAGATGTAATAACATAGTTATATCATGGTTAACGAATTCCTTATCCCCGGACATTGCTGAGAGTGTACAATATTTAGAGACAATTGAGAGTATTTGGAAGCAACTAAATAACAGATATGGGACTGTTAGTGGGACTAAAGTCTTTGAGATTAAAAGAGAATTTTTCTCCACTTACCAAAGATCTCTAGATATTGCCTCCTACTTTAATAAACTTAAGAAACTTTGGGATAAGCTGGAGATTATGCGCATCAGTCATGCTAGTTCTTGTGCTTGTCTGCTAAAGAAGGTCTCCAAAAAGAAAAGGAAGAAGATAAGGTTCATCAATTTCTGATGGGTCTAAATGAAGTTTATGTAGGAGTTAGAAGCAATATCCTAATGATGCATCCATTGCCATACCTTGATAATGTCTACAATATACTTCTCCAAGATGAAAAACAAAGATAAGTCCTTCCAAATGTACAAGCTTATTCTGAATCAACCTTTTTCCATGCAAATTCTAACAAGTTTCCTTCTCAATTTTACTTCAACAACAATATCCACAGAAATGAAAATTTAATCACCCTAGTCAGAGATTTAATTCTGGTCATAACAAAGCTTTACTGTTTTGCAAGCACTGTAAGAAGCCTGGTCATACAATTGAAAAATGCTATAAGTTGCATGGTTTTCCCCAGAACTTCAAGTTCACAAAGGGTAAGAAATTTGGTACTGCTGCTAATGTTGAATGGCAGTCTTCTGGGTTTCCTGATCATACTCCTTCACATGCTGAGGATTCACTAGTACCTGGTTTAACTAGAGATCAGTATACTCAATTGATGAGTTTTCTTCAGCAATCTGGTCTCAATGAAACATCACCACAACCTGCCATTATGGGCTCTACAAATTTTGCTGGTAGTTCTTCTTCCTTGCATGTGTGTTTGAATGTAATTCTAATGTGCGCATGTTAAGTAGTGTAGCTGGAAGGATATGAATAGTGGATTCTGATGCCACTGACCATATGACTTCAAATAAAACTCTTCTTTTCAGCATTACTCCTCTACCTATTCCTTATCTAGTCTATTTGCCTAATGGTTACAAAGTAAAAGTTACTTATACTGGATCCCTTACTCTGATATCTTCCCTCACTCTTCATCATGTTTTATACATACCTACCTTTCACTATAATTTGATTTCAGTGAGCAAACTCATTTCTCAATACAAATGCTATCTTTTATTCACATCTTATTCATTGATACTTCTACAGGCCCATTCTATGAAGAAGCTTCTGGAGCTTGGTAGAATGGACCATAGACTATACAAATTCTACTTCAACCAATCTACTTCTGCTGCACACCTCATCTCTGATAATTTTGATAACTATGCACCTATTTTTCATAATGTCATGGACAACATTAAACAGTCTACTCTTGTTTCTGTTGCTTCTGATTCACTTGTTTCTAGCTTTAATACCATAGCAACAGTAAATGATTTTCCATTGAATGCAAATGTAGATGTTCTGGATTCTCTTCATAATCCTATTTCTTTACCAACTTGTAATAGTCATCAACATATAAATAAAAATGATGTTCTTTGGCATCACAGATTGGGTCATGTTCCTTTTGCACAAATGAAAAATATACCTTCTATTTCCTCTAGTTTATCAGCAAAGCAGTCTTTCATTTGTCATGTTTGTCCTTTAGCAAGACAACCTAGATTGTCCTTTCCAAATAGCTCTTCTCATTCTACTGCTCTGTTTCAACTTATACATGTGGATACCTGGGGACCTTACCACACTTAATCCTATTCTGGGGCAAGATATATTTTTACTATAGTTAATAATTACAGCAGGGCAACCTGGACATACCTGTTGCGCTCCAAAAGCTATGCCTTCACCTTGATTAAGGCATTTATAGCAATGGTCAAAACCCAATTTCAACTTCCCGTAAAAGTCATTAGGAGTGAAAATGTCTTAAAACTTGGATCTTCCAATTCAGCTCTTCAATTCTTCTCTGAAACTGAAATAATCCATCAAATCACATGTCCCCACACCCCCCAACAGAATAGGGTGGTAGAAAAAAAGCACATGCATCTTCTTGAAACTTCAAGAGCCTTATTGTTTCAATCCAAACTCCCCACCAAGTTTTGGAGTGATTGTGTCTTAACAGCAACCTACCTTATAAATAGGTTTCCCTCTTCAGTTTTGTCCAACAATACACCATTTGAAGTTCTATATGGCAGTCCACCTTCATACTCCCACTTGAAACCTTTTGGTTGTTTATGTTATGCCATTGTGCCCAAATGCCATAGGGACAAATTTCAACCAAGATCTTCCCCTTGTGTTTTCGTTGGGTATCCCTATGCTAAAAAGGGTTATAAGCTATACAACATGCATAGTAAATCAGTTTTGTTCTCTATAGATGTCATTTTCTATGAATTTGTGTTTCCTTATCAATTGGTATCATCTACTACTTCTTCCTCTACTCCACCTCCTTATATTCCCATATTCTCTTCTGATGTTCATTATGACTTCTCTATTTCTACTCCTACTTCATCATCTTCTCCTAATGCCATTATTCCAGCTATTTCACCTGTACCTACGCATTCTACATCTGCTCATGTTCATCCAGCTTCCTCACTATATATTCCTAACCCTACTCAGTCAGCACCTCTAACTCATCTTACACCTGCACTTAGAAAGAGCTCTAGAACCCACCAAATACCATCTCATTTGAGAGACTTTGTTGTACAACTTTCTTCTTCTCTTTCTTCTTCCACTCCTTCCTCCCTTACTGTTGCACAACATGCTACAATAGAACCTAATTCCTACACTCAGGCTGCTGCCAGCCCTGATTGGTAGGAAGCTATGGTCAAAGAGTTTGAAACCTTAGAATCTAATCAGACTTGGAATATTGTGGAAATCCCTGTTGGAAAGAAGCTTATAGGTTGTAAATGGGTTTATAAGATTAAATATAAAGTTGATGGTAGTGTGGAGAGATTCAAGGCTAGATTGGTGGTTAGAGGGGACACTCAAGTAGAAGGGATTGATTTTAATGAAACTTTCTCCCTTGTTGTCTAGATGTGCATTGTGAGATACTTGATTGCTGTTGTAGTTAAAAAGCAATGGCCTTTGTTTCAACTAGATGTGAACAATAACTTTTTGCATGGTGACCTAGATGAGGAGGTCTACATGAAGATTCCTCTTGGGCTTTCTATTCCTTCTGCCTCTTCTACTTCTACCCATTTGGTATGCAAACTTCAAAAATCTCTTTATGGGCTTAGACAAGCATCTAGACAGTGATATGCAAAGTTGTCACAAGCTCTTTACTCTAGAGGCTACACCCACTCTTTGAATGATTATTCATTGTTTGTTAAGAAGACTGAGACCTCTATTATTTTTATTGTTGTTTATGTGGATGACACACTACAAGAAGTTAGGGTTACGACGATATTTAAAAAATGACTTATGTAATAAATGTCGGAAAATGATTAAATTTTTGATATTTTTTAAGAAATGTCGTAAATTAAGTGACATTTAATAATAAATGACAAAATTATTGACACTTTTAATTAAAGTGTCGTAATATTTGTCAGTATTTGCTGACTTTTACAGCAAATGAAGGAAACTTATTTACGTTTATAATGTTAATTCTGACAAATTGAAACAAAAAAATTACGTGTATATTACAGAAGGCCGCCTATCTAATGTTCTTAATTCTCCCAAAAATCCTACTCGTGATCTCTCCCCTTTCCTCAAACACAAAATCACGATTGCCATCTTTTTATATTCGCGAAATTATCGAGGCGTCGTGAAACTCCAGCATCCTAATGAGATTTTTCTTCTGGACTCGCTTCATATACCTTTCAAGCGTTCCAATCAATTCATCTCGAAGTTCATAGTCGCGCTCGATTAGCGGATAAGCCAATTCCAGCATGACGCAGAGAATCAAAAGGGGAGATGACCTGGTTGGTGTTAGACTATTCTAGAATTCTAAACATTACCAAAATTTAGGCCTCATTTCATACACCATCGGCTGTCATATCTAATCTGTTCTCTAGTCAATAATACCATTGTTGATAATTCTCGATATTTTAGTCAAGGTTACTAAGTTTCGGGTAAGTTCTATTCACCTATGATTCGGTGCTATTCTTGGATTGAAATTCTGGTTGTCTGCCTTTAAAATGGTTCCAAACTTTTGTTCCATCCTATTCTATTCCTACCAACTGTTTGATTAAATGCTTTAGAGGATTAATTAACATTTATTGGATTTACACTTTCGTAGCTAATCATTTTTCTCATAACTAGAGAGAAACGAATTTATTTTTATCAGTATAGCAGCTTGATTAGAATCCTTTTACATTTCTCAAAAAAAGGAATAGAATTCTTTTGTATAGATGACATTCTCATAACTACTTGAGGTTGTATAAGTACACTTCATGATTTGTCTACCATTCCATTCTTCTTCATATGCTACGTGTGACACTAGTTGAGGCTATCTAAGTACTGCCCCTTGAGACTATGTTAATGATACCTGTTGTACTTGCAACAACAGAGCTTCATTATGAAGCACCGAGCTGTAAATTGTAGTACTACATCTCTTGGTAAGAAGTTAAACAAATCAAATATCAAAAGTCAGCTCTTTTGCTGCATCTTTTCATGTTGAAATGATTTTGTATGGTACTTATTAGATTATTGACATTGCTTGGGTGTTCAATTTGTTCTTACAACTACAGAACCTGAAATTCATTTACCACATACGACATACTGATGCACCAGTCGAAGCAAAAGGTAATTAATCCAATTATAGGACAATCTTTGCATCAATTAGATAGTTTATTTAATTATTTATTCCCGACACCTACTCTATATTGATCCAGTGAAATGATACTCTATAATCTAATTATTTGTTTCACTGTAAAAGACCTAAGACTAAGATATAATGTAACACTGCAGACTAATATTTGTAATGTTGTTTCTCTTTGCTTTAGCTTACAGAAAGCATTATCCATCATTCTTGGAATAATGAAATATGATGGTTAGGAAAAGATTGCTCAAGATGTGTGTCCACCTAAACGGCTGGCTGAGAAGGGAATATCATTTGTGAAAAACTTCCTTCAGCTGTATGTAACTCCATCTCTATTAGTGGAATGATCTTTTCCATAAGCTAATGATGCTGAATTTATACATTTCTCTTGAGCTTCTAATATTGAATCGTTTTTATGTTTTCTTGCAGAAGGTAGGAACCACATGACTTATCTATACTTCTTCAAGATAGTGTACGAGGTACAATCATGTTGTTCTTTCCGCTACTTAGTAGTTTCCTAAATTACCTTAGTGATGATTCTATTCTTTTTTTGTTTCAATTCTTGGAACAATACCTTAGAGAATATGAGCAACTAATGTAAAGGAATCCTCCACTTGGGAAAGCATGGACACTGAAGCTTTTCCATCAAAAGGACAATACTAAAACTATGACTGGGTAGATTGTTATGGAAGTTTAAGGGAAAAGTTATGTAATTGTATGTGAAGTAACTCTGTATTTGGTTCAAATTGTTTGTAATGTACTGAAAGTATTGAAATAAGAATAGATGTTATTGTGGATAAATTGTTGTTACTTATTGATTTCTTTTAATATAAAAATATCTTTAGTTTAATCTTTATCCATGACAATTCTTCATATTCATGTTATTAGTCAAAAACTATAAAGAATTAAACGGCATTTATATATATATCGCAAAAAAGACAGGTTATGAACCCAAATTACTGACATTTAAAAATGTCATAACTAAGTGTCACGAATTATTTGCCGACATTAATCTAAATGTCGGAAAAAAAGCGACATTAAAATTTTTGACATTTAAATTAAGTATAAAATAAATGTCGATAATTGATTTTGTGACATTTATGTGACTTATGCCGACATTTATAAAATGTCGTCGTATGTCATATTTCTTGTAGTGACATCATACTAACCGGAGATGATTTATCTGAGATTTCTGCCCTTAAGTCATTCTTGGATGCTCAATTCAAGATTAAAGACTTGGGATTTCTTAATTACTTTTTGGGTATTGAGGTCTTTTATCACAAATCATGTGTTGTTTTGCATCAAAAGAAGTTTATTACTGATTTTCTTACTAAATACCACTGTTCTGATGTTTCTGATGTTGTTAGTCCATTAGACAATTCATATAAGCTGCATTCTGGTCTTGGTGATCTGTTGCCCCAACTTGACAAATATAGGATCTTGGTTGGGAAGCTGGATTATTTAACTCATACTAGGCCAGACCTATATTTCACTGTCCACCATCTAAGCCAATTTCTACAGGCTCCTAAACTTCCTCACATGACAGCTGCCTTACATGTTTTGAGGTTCTTGAAGGGTACTATTGATCATGGGGTATTTTTTAACAAATCCTCTGATTTCTCTTTATTAGCTAGCTGTGATAGTGATTGGGCGGCATGCCTAGCCTATAGGAGGTCTGTTACTGGATTTTGCATTCATCTAGGGGGCAACCTCTTTAGTTGGAAGTCTAAGAAGCAGCCTATTATTTCTTTATCCTCTGCTGAAGCTGAATACAGAGCCATGAGTAAGGTGGTTGCAGAGATGGCTTGAGTTGTCAGGTTGTTGGCTGATCTAAGTATTCCTTTTGCTACTCCAGTTCCTCTGTTGTGTGACAGCCAGACTGCAATTCACATAGCCAAAAATCCTGTATTTCATGAGCGTACTAAACATATCGAAGTGGACTGTCACTTCATACGTACCAAGTTAGCTGATGGGCTCATTTCCTTGTCTCATGTTCCTACTTCTTCTCAAATGGCTGATATTTTTACTAAGTCTTTGACAGGTTTGCAACATCGCACCTTATCGAGCAAGTTGGGCGTGTGTCCACCCTCCAACTTGGGGGGAGGGGGAGGGAGGGGGGGTGTTGGAGTTACATCATGTTGGAGTTACATGACATTGGACATATTAAATATTGGACTAGTTTAGCTAGTTGGGCCACAAGCCCATTATCTGTATTTATTTGTAAATAAGAGGCCCGGAACAGATATAGGGACAAGCAGAAGATTCTAGGGACATTTTTTTTGACAGATAATACAAAACACAATTTTGCTCGTCTGCCTTCTCTCTTCTCTCTCTAAAAACCCTAAACATGGGTTCATCAAATCCGGTCAATCTCTGAGTTTAACATTCTCATTAGCAACAAAATAATTCTACCACTCGGTTTGGTTTCTACTAATAATAATTGGATTTCTAGTTTTCACCAATTTGATCTATTCGTCAAATAAAAAAATAAAAAACAAGCATGGAATTTGGCTTTTAAGGACAAAACAAATTTCACGTCTTTGGAATATACCATGAACTTCCAGGGACGCGACGAGCACTTTCTATTGCTTTCCCTCGTCTTTTCCCTCGTTTTGTGGTCACCCATTTCTTGTGTCAATTTTCTCTATTCATTGGGCATGCTTTCGTGTTCATTTTTGCTTTCTCAATGTCACAATATGTCCACAAACATAAAATTATAATCCTCCTCAAAAAGAGATAATTGTAAAGTTTATAGCTTAGAAGTTACAGAAATTAGCAATGTCGCCTATATAAAAGTTGAAGAAGAACAATAGCTGATGTTAACGGTTCAATTATTGGCTATATACGCTTTGATGCATTCAATCATCTGCCCGAATAATGTTTTACCTCCGCTTAACGATTTTTCGTTTGTACAATTCGTAACTTACGTAATATAACAGTTCAGTCCACTAGTGATAGTATCCACTTTAATCCTAAATTCGTACGACTTGTTTACTTATATACTCAACATCTCTCACATATTTTGTTAATGTGAAATTTGTCCGGGTGTCCATGTCACACATAATATGATGAATTGATATATAAGGATACATGACTTTTCCAGAAAACAAATAAAGAGCTTAAAAAAGAATGGGTGTGAAAGTTGCTAGAATAATAAATTCGGCATTTGCATTAAATCACATTATTGAGGCTATATATATATATATATAATTTTATACCTGTTAAAAGTTTATACTAAATATATTCATTATAGTAACAAGCATAGGTTAGTTTCTTTTCGAACAATCATACGAGTTAGAAGTATCTATTTTGTTATCTAATTATGGTTTTTTACAAAATATTGGAAGTAAATTTCGTGGAACTCAAATTCGGCGCAAACTAATTACCCACCATCGTAATGAGTAAAATGCTTTGATTTGTTGCCATCATCTTTTAAAATACTGCTGGAAAAAATACATGAATAACAAAGAACTCAAAATATGAATTATGAAATTCTGAACCTACTTTGAGGCATAACTACATCTAGCCTTGAAGTTTTCCCGGCTAATCAATAATCTAAGGGGGAAAATGAAGCCACGTGTTTGACCTAATGCAATATTCCAAAAGATTCACATGGACCCCATTGTGGGAATCTCTCCTTAAGTGTCACTATCATTGGTCATTTGTCTATTGAATATTCTAATACCTCCCAAAAAAACACTTAGAAGAGAGAAGGCAAGATGAGTTAGTACTCCGAAATACTTACATATTATTATATGGCAGTATGTTGTACGAAGAATTCTCTGTAGTATCCGGGATGGCACCACAATAGATGTAATGTAAACAGTCTATCATGATACAAGTATCAATGACTGATTTTATTGCTCGAATTCGCGACTTATATATCACACGAAAATAGCTTTATTGTTGCTCCAAGACTTCTTTTCACTTAAAACATTATTATAAATTTTTAATATTTAGAATTTTATCAATACTATAAGTTAAAAATGTTTTATCAAGCTTTAAAATATTTTTCTCTCACTAATCGAATATCATAAAATATTTTTGATATTTCATGAAGAGTAATTTTTTTTATTAAACATTGACATTAATGTTAGCAGATTATATGATTGTGATATTTTTTTCTAGTATTAAAAATTAATAATAATATCCAAGTGTTACCGAAGCAATCATATAAAGCTAAAATTTTAGACAGTAGAGAAGAAAATGATTTCGGCTCTAAAAGTGGGGGGG